GTTCATTACTGCACTATTAACAATGAAGGGACAAAGGGCAGCAGTGGTACTCACTAGTCACTATGTTGAAAATAAACTATATAACTTGTAGGTGGGGATGGGCAGGAAAAACTGGAAGAGAGGAAGGGAAAGGGTGATATTGTCCCAATGACCTAAGTGTAACCTCTCTCTGTACACCACTTTTATAATAACAAAAAAAAATTAAGGAAGAAATTGTACTTGATAAACCTATTTTAGTGTGATTTCTACATGTGTGGGTTCCAAAACATTTTTCCCAAACTCAAGTACTGGAGCTAAATCTTCCCTGAAGCCAGTGTAATCCCACTTTTCTAGATCTTTCCGATTACCTTACAGCCTTCTTAAATTAGATAATTACTCATTTTAAACATTTTATTAAGGCACAAAACACAAATTCAACAATTACCAACAGATGGCTACCCTGGATTACCTCTATCTTCACAATTTTACCCACCACCACACAGGTTACTTTGTAGAAAATTTCAAATATAGTTTCATATATTTAAATTAGTCAATTTTTGCCTAGGGTCCTTGTTTGAGTTATCTTAATTACAATATTGATTCCCATTTACTTATTGTCTACTGTGAGCCAGGTTGTGAAAATACATTATCACTTATCTTCATAACAAATGATGCACATCAATGAGGTAGCTAAATCTTGGAGAATTTCAGTGATGCTCTCAGATCTATTTTCTATTATCTATTTTTTCTATAATGTTATTTCTTGTAACAAGTTCTTAGACTACAGTGAAAACATTTCAATTTTCTTTGTATATCCTTAGGTTAGCATTAAATTATCATTTATGAACAAGTCTCTTATTGTTATAAATGTCACAATTTTCTACCAAATTTGTGTCTCTAACAGAAGGAAAAAAGCAAACAGACAACCCACTATCCCCCAAAACATCCAACAACTATATCTCTATTCCTAGCAATGGCCAGTCTACAAATAATTCTAAAGATAATTTATTTAATTCAGAAATAAATATAACTACCTTTATATAAACATTTTTTCCTGGAAAAGTTCATTGAAAAAAATAGAGTTGATATTTTATGGTTTTTTTTAAAATCTCTCTCCCCCCTGTATGTGTGAATGAGTGCACACCCATGTACACACATGCTGGTCCTGGGACTTAAACCCATGGCCTGGAAGCTGTCCCTGGACATTTCTGCTCAAGGCTAGTACTCTACCACTTGAGGTACAGCTCTCCATCTGGCTTTTTGGTTGTTGCTTGGACAGAGAAGTCTCACAGACTTTCCTGCCCAGGCTGGCTTCAAACCACAATCCACAGATTTTAGCCTCTTTGAGTAGCTAGAATTACAAACGTAAGCCCCCAGCACCTGGCCTCTTCTGATTATGTTTAAGGGTTTGAAATACACAAAGTATTTTCCAAAGGCACAACAGTTACAATGTAATTAGACTCAAGTAGCAACAAATTGTAAATTGTGTTAAAATTTTTCTGTCTTCTACAAAGAATTCTTTTATACCAAAATGTATTGTGGAATACTTAGCATCTAGACAGAAGTACAATATTTAGAAGAAAATACAAAAAAATTAATTTATAGCCATTACCATTAGGTAATTATTTTTTTATTTTTATTTTTAATTTTTATTGTGAAAATACTGTACAGAGAGGTTACAATTATATAGGCAAGATAATAAGTACATTTCTTATCAAGCATTGTAGCCTCCTCCTTTGTTTCCCCTTCCCATCCCTTCCCATCCTCCCACGTTCCCCCCATCCTCCTCCCTCCCCCCACCAAAGTTGTAAAGTTCATTTTTCCACATAACGACTTGTACATCTCGTTGTTGCAATGGATCCACCGATTAGGTAATTATTATAATAAGATGCACACAAAGTAAAAATTTCTATTTACCCCTATTTATTTTAAAAATTATTTAACTTCAGCCGGGCACTGGTGGCTCACGCCTGTAATCCTAGCTACTCAGGTGGCTGAGATCTGAGGATTGCGGTTCAAAGCCAGCCCGGGCAGGAAAGACCGTGAGACTCCTATCTCCAATAAACCACCAGAAAACCGGAAGTGGCGCTGTAGCTCAAGCGGTAG